AACGACGATCCTGTCGCCGTCAGGCAGTGCCGTTAGCTGCACTACCCTCTCGAGATCGATCAGCTCTTCTTTCTACAGTTCGCTTAGGGCAGTTGGAGCGAAGATGGCCCTTTTCCCCACAGCCATAGCACCTAGGGCCGTATCCTTTGCTGCGGTCACGGACTGTAGCTGCTGCGACCTCCCTGACGCGATGGGAACGATGATCCTGCCGCACGGCTTCCACTTCCAGTGCATGGGCCAAGGCGTCCTTAAGCGTCTCGCGGTGCCCGAGCCTCACAGCAGCTCTGACTTCCAGGTCGCGGATGCCGTCGATGAATGTCTGCACCAGGTTCCCTTCAATGAGCGCAGGTACAGACCGGTATGCTTTTCGCACCAGCTTCTCCACTTCTAGAGCCCACTGCTGCAGGTTTTCGTTGATGCGCTGCACACGATCTTTAAGCTGCGCACGAAAGACGTGTTCCAGGTGAGCGTCGCCATATCTCGCCTCCAATGCCTCAAGGAGTTGCTCATAAGTCACTTCCTCACCGAGAGCTTCCAGAACTGTTAAGGCCTGGTCGCGCAGGCCTAGTGTGAGAGCAGTCATGGCCTGACTTTTATTCCAGCCGTTCGCCTTCATAACAGCCTCGAACTGGATCTTGTAGGCTGACCAGGAAGAGGTACCGTCGAACGGCGGCACTTTGAATCCACGTAGCGAAGGTGTTGTAGCTACTACGGGAGCTGTTGTTCCATCCCCAAGTTTGAAGTCGTCCAGCGTTTTCTTCACATCAGCCACCACGTTGTCTACCCGATTGTTCACTTGGTCGATTTGGGTTTTAGCTTCCTTGATTTGGGTTTCAGCTTCCGACAGGCGGTTGTCATGCTGAGCAACCCTATTCTTAACCTCCTTTATCTCCTTCCCGAAGGTAGTGTGAAGATCCTTCATGAGGAGCATTTGCTCTTCCAACCCACGGGCCTGTTCCTCTTGTCCGCCCCGCAGCTGTTCTTCCAAACGACGGACCTGTTCTTCTTGTCCGCCCCGCAGCTGCTCTTCCAAACGACGGACCTGTTCCTCCTGCTGCTTTTTCAACAGACGGGCCTGTTCCTCTCGTCCGCGCTGCAGCTGCTCCTGTAGCATCGCCATCAGAGCACCTAAGTCAGGTGCTGCAGATGCAGGAGTTAATGACGGGCCCGCAGCCTCCGTGGCTGGCAGTTGGCCCTCCGACGTCTGCGCCGTTGCACCACCAAATCTTCTTTGGTCTGTCTCCTGCTGGCGTTGACTTCGGGTACGGACACCCTCCGTTTCCTCCTTAGGTAAAATCGGCATGATTTTATCCCACTTCTGACACCAATTGTTACGAGCTTGAGGTTCGTGACAATAAAAATTGCCGATAAAATTACCTAAATTATCACTTTAATTCACTTTACAATAATATAAGTTAAAAAAACACTAATAATTAATCACATTGATTCACTTTATTTCGCTCCGAAGCTTCGCGTGTCTCGCCAACTTCAATACTTCCCCGATCGCGTATTGCAGCGCCTTTATATAGGGCTCTTCCACGAAAACATCCAGAATATTCCAGAATATTCAAGTAAATACGCGCGCCAACCGACCAAGCGCAGAAAGATCGAGTGTAGAGCTTCTAGAAAGTTTAGTTCTTCAATTTGATACTAGATGGCATTTTCTGGAAAGCTCTCTACTCGCTCTGTTACTCGACACTAGATGGCGCTAAAGCTAGCATGCCATGAGATGAGATGTCAACTTAGCCGCGCAACAATAATATTGGATTGCATCATTGAAAACATTTGAGAAAATTTTTTCTCTACTCGTAAAATTTTTAGGTAAGAAAAATATTCCTCCAAATACAGAAAATCATAAAGAGGTTAATAAAACACAAAATAAATTTAACAGTGTTTATATTTTGTATTGAGGTTAATATTACGTGCCTGTAGCTTTGATGCGTCGACAAATGTTCCGTTTGTTATGTTTATAAGTATAACTTACATTATCTTTAATCTTTACTTGTGCAAAATATGTATATTTACAAACGGAATCAGCACAGTAGTATTAGGTACACCTTAAAAGATCTCAAATAACACTCATAGTAATTGTACTGTTTGCACTTTTGTCAAACTCGAGCGAATTTAAATATTTTTTTGAGATCTTTAGAAGAATGACCTAAAAGATGTCTAAATTTGTTCACATTAAAATTAAAATATATTTTTACAACGAATAAAGTTGTTATTGTAATAATTATAATAAAATATACACAGGTACAAGAAAATTACATAGTTAGTGTGATACCTTATCAGGTTCCAACACGTGGCGATAAGAACCGCTGCGTTAGTCAGGCTTTGGTGATTTTGTGCACTACATTACATTACGCCTAGAAATATAAAGAATAATTGATATCTCCGTGCAACTGACGCATTTTGTTAGAAAACGTTAAAATATCAACTGAAATAATTTGATCATATAGTTTTGCTTAGTGTACATGATCATGCAGATCATGAAGTAAAGATGGTTTTACAATAGGTAGAACGTAAAGCCGATTTTATTCACTTTGGAATCGATAATGATTATACATAATTGATGCCGACAGTTCGCATAGGCTGCATTTCATTGTCATTGTAAATAATTCTTTCATTTGCACCAATAACTACAAAACAAATTGGCAACAAACGTTTAGGAAGCCGAATCTCAATGTAAGACTTAACCTACAACAATTTACAACTCGTAACAATTCACTACATTATCATGATAACATACTTAATGTTAAAGCTTTCTTTATTTACATACATTCAAAGGTTGTTGAAACTCATTTACTACATAGAAAAATATAATTAAGATATAACAGCTGTTAAACAATAAATGCCAGTGGATACAATATACAAACAGTAAAAAATAAAATATCACTTATTAACTGATCACGTGACCAGCTTGTGTGGTTTGATTTAAAATAAACAGCTTTTTGATAATAACTATCTGTAAGTATATTGTTTCAAATTCATATAAAAATACTCGTTTGCTAGCAAATCTATTTTTTACCGTTTTTAAAATATTTCTCTCGTGTACAACGCAATACCTGCAGACATATTATGACTAAGAAACAGTGACTGACGGCGCAGTTATTCGAGGTACAAGATAGAGATTGCAGAAGAGCTATAGAAAAATAAACAATAATATTTGATTAATTCTATATTCACTATAAATATATTTTTAACGCGCACAAAGAAATAAAATTTGACCGACATCATATTCTGCATACGACTTGTTACACTTGTTACAATAAAGTGGTCACTTTGTGTCGTTAAAATTTGTAAATAATGTATTCCTTTCAATGGTGACCGATAACTATCTACGAGTATATAATAGCCATTCATTTACTCGGGCGCACAATCACTCATTCACTCACTCACAACACTATCAACAACATTGGAAGAGTTTTCAGAAGCACTGTTTTTCAAAATAACTCCCTTTTATGAAAAATATACAAATATTAACTGTATTCATCGTCTGTTACTAAATTGTCAAATCGTCTCTCAACAAAAACTCAACTTTGTTTCAATCCTCACGGAGGAAATATCTTACGAACAATATTATTTATAAATTTATTAAAGGGTCTCAATATGATCGATTTATGATACAATAAAAAGTATATGAATGGACAAAAATGCATAAATTATTGGAAGATATATCAGGGAATGCATTTCAAGTCATGTATCCAAATCCTTAATGTTACATATCAAACTTATAAAAATTGACTTAACAAATATTTCTAAAGTACATTTTATACCATATGAATGATCTGTTCCACTTAACTCTATTGTAGTAGTGCACTTGTTGGCACTACACACATCTCACACGGTGCGGGTGCTCATCAAACTGTATTAAACAGTTTTCTGCGTGCATTAATATTAAATGTGCTATTTAAACATTACATATTATACAAATGTGTTTTATACGCTACTCGGAGCTCGGTCGCGGGACGCTGTTCAAATAATATTTTATCTTCGGCTACCGAAGAGGAGCATGTAAGCCCTGTCTTCTAAAGATAAGATACAATCTCGAGTTTTTGTACTACTGTGCTTTTATTTCGCACACATAATTTTACCAAATTCATTTTATATCCACAACCAAAATTTAGAAAAACAGTTATATTTAATAAACATGTACTTAATTATGTACTTAGGATTAGTCTAAAATCCTCTACATCATTTTAGGTATGATTTTTTTTAAATTAAATGCATCTTTTGATGCTAAAGTTGTGGCAATAAATTACTCTAGTGTTCTTTCACACAATATGAAAGTAATAATTTTGGTCGATACATTGATGGCTTTTGTTTACTAGCTTTAAATGTATTTTATTAAAATTAAGTTTTTACAGTGCATATAATATAGAGATGGCGCACACTATTGGCAACACTTTGTCCATACGTTTAAGTATGGCAATAGTAATCCTAAGGACGTATTTATATATACGTGGTGTACAATTCCTATAGCGCGTACAGACGTATTTTTATGAACCCTAAACATATGTGGTTAACACGTATGGTGCTTATTTTAAGCACCTATGTTTTCATCTAAATGGAAACCTTATATTATGCTTTTACATTATGAATATGCAAACGCATTGTAAACACAATCGGCTGGATGATACGTGACGTAAGGTAAATGGTACCTAAACGCGCGTAGGACTTGTAGTCTAATAAATAATGTACACGCATGCGCTGCGTTTACGTATACGTTCAAAAGGCGGGTCAAATAACCTGATCTTGCATGTTAAAATATTTCTTTTAAAATAATAATACAAAAAATATTTACAGTAATTATTTCAAATGTGTACGTAATCAGTATGAAAGTTAATTTAAGAAATAAATGTAGAATGCGCGACGATTCCATGTCTGCTGATGAACCCGCGTCGGGCGCACGGTGAGCTGTACGGTGTCGGTGCGTGCGCTCAGACGCACGGCGGCGAGCGGCGGCGCTGCGCGTGCGCGTGCGGCGGCGTAAAGAACTGTCATTGCGGGGTGTCGCGCGCCGCGCTCCAGCGGTCGAACTCGATGCCGGAGTCGGGCGACACGCCACCGGGCGCCGCGCACCCGCACCCCGCGCCGCCCGCAACCACCGCGCCGGCGCCCGTCCCCGCCCCGCCGCCCGCAGCCGCCTCACGCACGCCCAGCTCCTCCAGCACCTGCGCAAACAGTGTTGCCAGCTTACACGGTGAAAAAAAAAACAGCGGCGGATAAAAACTTTATTTTTAATTTAGGTAATCAAAAATCTGTATAAACAAACATTTTATGTTGCAAATATTTGAAAAATCTTAAACCAACAGCAGTGATTACTTTATTTTTTAGTTGTTATAAAGTTTTTTTTTTTCTAAGTGTATATTGTTGGCCCTGCGACTTTTACAGCTAAATCGAACTAGACTCTTGAGCGATGACTCACGAGCTGTTGAGTGCAACGATTCGTCGCCAACTGCAGTCTCGGGGCACTCCAGCCCCTATTTTCGGAATACTTTAGGAGTCCTCTAGCTATGGGAGGGGGGGGGGTTCTCGGTGTAATCAAGGGAAAGTAGTAAACTCGGCCTGAACCACTATCGCAATGTGCGGAAACGGGTCGGTAACTAAATACGCCCCATGTCACTTATATTAAACCTCGTGTACGGGATGTGTTTGTGACCTCACGCTCGCTGACGAACGCGGCATATCCTAGTGTTGTTTACTAGTGTAGTGTCAGTGTGTGTTGTTAAAGTCTTCTATATGGTACAATATTATAATAATATGCACACATTAAAATGTTTAGTTTGACTTACAAACCATATAAACTTGAATTAACCCTTCATAAGTCAATGAAAGATTAGTTCAAGGAGTTCATTATCATCATGATAATAGCCTGTCACAAGGCCCACCTGCATGCATCAATTACGCCCACGTCTCAACAGGTCGTCAGTCCAACTAGTGGGGGTTCGCTTAACAACACCACGTTGCGTTGGCGAATACGAGGCAGCCACTCGAAAACCTTTCTTATACATTTTGTTTAACCCCTCAGCCTCCAAGCGGTCGAATTCGACCGCGGCGCTATTCCGTCAAAATTTAAGTGGTCGAATTCGACCGCGCACACTCACAGCACTTTAAACCATTAACTTATATTTAGACTACTTTTCTATGAATAAGTTTGACATTATAGAATCAATATGAAATTTTCAATCCTCTAGGTCTAGTGCAATAAAAAGTCAAGTTATCTTATGGATAAATATTAATCTACGTTAATTTCGTACGCCATTTTCGCGTGAATGTTATTGTGTTGATTTTTGTATTTTTCTAGTGGTTTAGTATAGTATTTTATTATAAAATTGCAATGAAAGTTTTTGTGTGAATATAATTTATCTTTTTACGTAAACAATTTCGAGTAATATAATATATATTACTCGAAATTGTTTACGTAAAAATAATTGTGATTTTCAAGCTCCGACATGAGCTTGGTATGTTTTTGTTATCAAAATACAATAGTCTTTTTGTAATGAAATAAAACCTGACTTTTATATAGAGAATTTTGTATAGATTTTATAATGCTAAACTTCTTCATAGAAAAGTAGTCTCTAAATAAAACTTTTAATGGTTGTTAAGTGCTGCGGGTGGGTGCGGTTGCATGCGACCGCACGGCATTTGCCGGACACATGCGACTGCATCGGATTTTTATGGGAATCGAAGGGTTAAATTGTCTCGGGTTTTCAAGCTATATGACCGGCCCATCAACACTAAGTTTGGTGAACTCTGTCTTTATTTGTTACTCTTATTATTGTGTCGATATCCTAACGTATTCGTATTATATCACTCAGAGAAATTCGGACAACTATCCATCAACACTAAGTTTGGTGAACTCTGTCTTCATTTGTTACTCTTATTATTCTGTCGATATCCTTACGTATTCGTATTATATCACGCAGAGAAATTCGGACAACTATCCATCAACACTAAGTTTGGTGAACTCTGTCTTCATTTGTTACTCTTATTATTCTGTCGATATCCTTACGTATTCGTATTATATCACTCAGAGAAATTCGGACAACTATCCATCAACACTAAGTTTGGTGAACTCTGTCTTCATTTGTTACTCTTATTATTCTGTCAATATCCTTACGTATTCGTATTATATCACGCAGAGAAATTCTGACAACTATCCATCAACACTAAGTTTGGTGAACTCTGTCTTCATTTGTTACTCTTATTATTCTGTCGATATCCTTACGTATTCGTATTATATCACGCAGAGAAATTCGGACAACTATCCATCAACACTAAGTTTGGTGAACTCTGTCTTCATTTGTTACTCTTATTATTCTGTCGATATCCTTACGTATTCGTATTATATCACGCAGAGAAATTCGGACAACTATCCATCAACACTAAGTTTGGTGAACTCTGTCTTCATTTGTTACTCTTATTATTCTGTCGGTATCCTTACGTATTCGTATTATATCACGCAGAGAAATTCTGACAACTATCCATCAACACTAAGTTTGGTGAACTCTGAAAATTTTACCCGAGTGCCTTTACCACAAAAATTCTTCAATGAACATTACATAACTACGAGGGGAGGTCAAAAAGTTAAAGCAATGACGGGGAAGGATAATGAAATAAAACATTAAACTATTTTTCCTTTTCCATATATTCTCCCTTAACCCTAATACATTTATTAGATCTGTCAAATAACTTATAATACCGTTTAAAAAAAACGTCTTGGGCGTTAAAATAGGGCGAAAGTGCCAAATTCACTTCATCGACGTCGCCAAATGTTTTCCCACGCAGTTCTTTCTTCATATTTGGAAACAAATAATAGTCGCTTGGGGCTAGGTCTGGGCTGTAGTGTGGGTGGCGCAGTTGTTCAAAACCGCACCGGTGAATGGCAGCTGTCGCAACATGGCTTGAGTGCACGGGCACAATGACGTGCAAAAGGAGCACGGCTTTTGTAAGCTTTCCTCGCTTTTTTTCTTTAATAGCTTCTTTTAATTGATCTAGTAAAGAAGCGTATTATTCTACCGGTATGGAAACACCACGTTCCTTCCTGTTAACCAAGCCTAGCTCACCTTCGATCGCGCAATACCAACCTTACGCCCGCCAAGTAGTGATCGAATTAGATCAGAATTATGTAAACATGTCTACCTATGAAAAAAACTATTTTTTCGTTTTAAACAAAACCAAAGACACTATGCAATAGATATTAGTATCAAAGACAAAGATATGCTCTTTTATTTTAAACCATAACCTGGCAATGTTTCTTAGAAAAAAAAAAAGAAATCACTCTGAACTTCCGGCGTTCCACGTGTCACTTTGTTGAAGTTGCTCCGTCTTTTTTATAGAATTTTATATTTGTGTCTGGACTAAAAACGAAAGTATTATACTTTTTTATATTCCTTGTAATATAGTGAACACATATATATATAATTTGTGGTATAAAAAGTGAAAAGTAAATTGCCAAAAGTGCTTCAAAATCTGGAAGGCCCATTATGGCGGCTGGGTCATAAATGTGGTATTTTTCACATTCTCATTTATTTTTAGTGTAAAATGTAAGTAAAAATAGTTTTCTTACATATTTCAAATAACTTGACGTTGTATTTATTTCAAATTCACACAAAGCTATTTTAGAAATATTGTTCTAAATGTCACACAGATAAAATATTATTATTTATTTTTTTTAATTTCTTTAAATTTTAATATTTTGGTATGAGTAACGAATGGAAACACATAAAACATAAAAATATACATATTTCCAAACAATTTGATATAAATTTCTCCAAAAACAAAAGTGTAGAATTCAAATTAGTAGTAATTTTGTCACTAAAATTGAAGTATATGCTACTACTATGCTATACAGGGTAATTTACGTATTTTATTACAATTTCTAGCAACCAAAAATAATTTTATTCGATAGTTTATACATTCAACAAGAATTCCTGTAAGTTTTATCCATAAATATTGTCTCAAAGTGAAAATATAGCAAAATTTGCAATATAGCAAAAAAATTTGCTAACTTACAAATTTTCCCGCCAAAAAGGTCCCGAGTGAACGGGAGTATAACATGGCGCGCGCTCGCTTGGCGAACAGGATAATCAATCAAAAGGATACCTTCTGTATCCCAAAAGATCGTCGCTATGATCTTTCCGGCCGATTGGGACACCTTATACTTCTTCGGAGGGGGTGTTCCATTTTATGCCACTGCATTGACTCAGATTCATAATGGTGAACCCAAGTTTCATCATCAGTTACAATTCGGGCCATAACTTCCTCCCTTTGCTCTCCACAGCGGTCGAAAAACTTGCAACAACTTTCAAGGCGCTCGTGTTTTTGATGTCGTTCACATTCTCGGAACCCATCTTGCACAGACTTTAGTCGTGCCAAGGTGTTGATGTAGGATGTTTAAAACCATTTTACCAGTAACCAGTAGTAACCAGTTTCTGATACTCCAACTAATGCTGCAAGCTGTTTTTTCTTTAGCCGGCCATCTTCCGATACAAGTTTTTCAACTTTTTCGATTATTTCTGGCGTGGTAGCCTCAATCGGCCGTCCAGGTCGGGAGTCGTCTTTGATGGACTCTCTCCCATGTTTGAAAAGGGCGTGCCATTTAAAAATTATGGTTTTCCCAGGAGAGGAGTCCCATAAACAGCTGACATCTTTTGCAAAATGGTTTGAAATGTCTTTCCTTGTTTGGTGAGAAACTTAATGACGGTGCGATATTCAATTTACTCCATAGTGGCTAGTTTCTTCGCGATTGAGTTGTTTACTCCTTGATAACTCTAAAGCTAATGACCCGATTAGCCTTGGTAAAACTTGGTATATATACTAACACACTAACTGCAATCAACTAGCATCTACTTGTATGTGTGAACTCACCCTCGCCAAATCCGCCATTCCGCAAACTTTTTGACCTACCCCCGTAGCTCCTTTTTATATACAATAATATGCTTGTGGTTGTGTAAAAGTGTAGTAGTATGCGTATGCGTGCGGTGCGGTGAGTGGAAGTTTTGAAGGGTGTGGAGGCGTAGTACAAAACAGACCTTACTCAGGCTGGCGCTGTGCTCGTGGAGGCCGAGGTCTCGCTCGAAGGAGTGCAGCTGGCGCATGAAGTGGAAGTTGGGCGCGATATCGGTCTTGCGGCTGCGCACCAGCTCGAAGGCGTCGCGCAGGCACAGCCGGTGGCGCTGCATCAGGTAGGCCAGCGTCACCGTCACCGAGCGCGAAACGCCCGCCACGCAGTGCACCAGCACGCCCACCCGCGCCGACATCGCCTCCTCTGCCATCACACGCACACACACACCTTACTTACTCATACTCACTGCACTGTCTTCACAACACTAACAACGATGGTTTCGGCATGTTTGCATGTTCAATAAAATAATGCAAAAAAAATTATATTAAATAAAAAAAAATTACGCGTGGGAAAAGATTATATACAGCTTTTAGGAAACGGTTTTTCAATTTCATCACTTTTCGACATTGTGAATACTGAAGATTCGACTTGCACTGTGTCAAGATTATATTTGTATCCTGTACCAATGTTACGCATTAATTTGATTTTGACAATAATGAATTTTTGTTCTTAAGATTTAGTTTATAATGCTGTTCTCAAAACTTATTGTTTGCTAATGATATGGTCTAGCGCAATATAAATTAATTAGTCGCGGACACAGCAAAAAAACTGTATGCTTAATGTAAAAACTGCAAAGTAGATCACTTCGAATGTATGTTGATTATCTTATTCAGCAGTCGCGGACTACCAAACGTACAACGAATCAAAAGGACAGCAAGCACAACATTATCAACCTGCGTTGTTAACTATAACGTAGATATTATTTAGAAATGGCCACATACTACACGAATGAAGCCATTTCGGTGTTTCTTTATCAGAACATATAAAGTCCATTGCTGGGCTTTGACTTCCGCCATAAAAAATTTTTTTGGCATAACTATGATAGAAATTGTAAATGTTGCATAAAGTATAAAATAAACATTATATCACAATTGATTTATTTGCAAACTCATATGTTGCGTCATGTGCACTCTTTGAATGCACGTCATCATTCATTTATTACAGTGTACCAGAAGTCCACGGCTGAACACGGGCATCCATTGTAAATTGGCTGACAGCGGCGGGCGGATATTTACCATAGTTGGCACGCTTGGCGGGCGGGCTGCTAGCCCTTTTAACAGTTCTTTTACTATTTTAAATTTTATAAGGGTGATGCCACTGCCCACCTTTTTTTTCACTTACTGTTTAAGGCCTTCTCGCCTCTTACAACACCCATGGAATAACACAGAGTAAGTTTGTAATATGAGGTAGTTGGACATTTCCAAATGTCGTCACTACACATTAAAAATAATAATAATAATGAGACGTTATCAAATAGGGATCATCATTACAGCCCTTCACAAGTCCACTGCTGAACATAGGCCTCCCTCAAGTAATGCCACACAGCACGGTCCTGAGCCACCTGCATCCATCGACTTCCTGCATATCTTACCAGGTCGTCACTCCATCTAGTGGGGTGTCGCCCTACACTTCGCCTACCGGTACGAGGCTGCCACTCGAGAACCTTTCTTCCCCATCGGTTATCGGTTCTTCGAGCTATATGGCCGGCACATTGTCACTTCAGTTTACTAATCTGGTTTTCAGAGAAACTCCGAGCATAGCCCTCTTCATAGCTCGCCTGAGCGACCTTGAGCGTCCTCATACGGTCAGTAGTGAAGAACCACGTCTCAGATCCGTAAGTCATCACTGACAACACACACGAATATTGGTAGTAAATTTAAGTTATATAATTATGAGACTCAGCTTCTGCAATCTTTTTTAGGTTAATGAAATTTTTTGCGCACTTATGGCCATAAATTTGTAACTACCACGAAATGCTGATGTCCTATGTTCAGGTATACAAAATACTTTTGCACTTTCGAATACTGTAAATATGTTGATTCTTCCTCCACTGGATCTTTTCATATAGGTATTCTGGTTTCTTTGTTTTTATTACTCCAAATAGCAGGAAGGCATAAAATAATTAGAGACATTCCTGTATTTTAAGCATATTAGAGGCATTAAGGTAAGGTATAACATGTGCTCGAATTATATTTGGCTTATAATATTATAGTACTACCTACATATAAATATACATCATTCTATTTGTATAGGCATTGAAGCACTTCAGGAAGCAATGAACAGACGACTGCGAATGGCCATTCTGAATAGAAAATTGTTACAGACATACCTATAAACCGTATGGCCTGTGGGAAGTGCACGGCGAGGTTCTGACTCCAGTGGTCGGCGATGGGAATCTTAAGGTAGTTGATGCCGCAGCCCTGCGCCTCAAACGTGTTCGGAAGATCCGGTGTTACGTTTAACACATACTGAAATTAAGACAGATTAAATGAATATTAAATTAAAAGATTATACATGTTTATTTCTTGATCTGAAATCGAATTACTTATCCTAAAACCAATAACTAAAAGCCCTAAGGCATTTTCCAGAAATTTCTTTCTTATTTTGTACTAGCTCTTACCCGCCACTTCGTCCGTAGTAACAAAAAACCGTTAACAATAAAACCTGTAGTTTTATATACTAGTGGTTTTAGGGCAAGTAGATAAATTTATCGAAAAAACACTTTAAATTCAGTTTTTTTGCTATTATCTCGAACGTCATACGCGACATGGTAAAATGCTTAAAATAAAAATTAAAGATCTATTAATTTTATGTAAAGTTCTTATCACCCCATTCTTTAAAACTCATAGTTTTGTATTAAAACGGTGTTAAGGTTAAAAATGTTAAAAATCGATTTTCCATCAAAACTTTAAGAGATAGAAGATAAAAAGTAGATAAGGACCTTTTTTTGTGTAAATTTACAAAATAAAAAAGTCTTTTTCGTAACTTATATATCTTTTGTAGTTTATGAGAAAATCTTAAAAAACCATTTGTTCATCAGTCTTATGAATAGATGAAAAAATATTGTATGTTTTCCGAATAAAAAATAGCCTAGATTATTATTGGCATTGTTCTCCATCTGCTTGTGTGATTCTATCACAATTTTATACTCGGTAGAGCCACGCTGCGGCTATATTATGGTTGTAGCATGAATGGGTCGGCTCGACCGGGGAAGGACCACGCCGTCACAGAATACCATCGTAAAATAGCAGTTTAGTATGGTGCGTGTAGAGGGTTCTCTACACGCAGATAGTAAAGAATCGGAGACCCGTTTTACTGTAAACGAGGCATTCCATCTTAGTCCTCAAGGGTGACAACGCATCTGCATTTTGATTCTTAATCGAGGTTAAATGTAGACGTCTATGGGTCACAGCATCCATTTACCATCAGGTGGACTGTGTGCTCGTTTGTCACCCTAATCCTATTAAAAACAATCGGTACAACTGTTCCGAAGATCAGCCCGGACGAATTCGGCAAAGCAAGAGACGGAATCATTGAGCTCCTAGCATTACTACTACCTTTAGTAGTAGATCAATGGATACAATAGTTCTTCATGGCTCAATAGCCTACAAATAAGCACCCGATGAGCCGAGCTTCATGTTTCTAAGAGCTTGTTATTTCAATATAACAAACAGCTTGTTTATTCGTTAACAATATTTGATAGCATACAGTTGGCTCTTACTGGCAGACAGATCTCTGGCAAAGACTTTGGAACCCTGGTTCCGCAGTATCGCTTCTTCAATACGAGCTGTATTGAGGTTGCGTAAATCCCGCCGCATGTATTTGAGATCTGTCAGTTGCCTGTATGCAGTCAAATTTGCTGATCGAAATAACAAGCTTCTTATTTACAATAATTCATAATTACTGTAAACAAGGACCTTGTTATTTCGATATTAAAAACAGACACTTCAATTTTATTTATATGTATGAATGGAAATTATTGTTATAGAAACATGACACTGCATTTCATTCTTTGGATGTCCCCCCCTCTCCCTTCCTTTCTATAATGTGAGTCGTCTTCTTCAACATCATTACAACTATGAAGTGTGGAGGTAAGGAGTACAGACTGTGAATTAAAAAATGTCCATAGAAAACCGTTAAATAAGTAAGGGTAATAAGTTACGGGGTGAATTTTAAAGAACGCGCCGAAAAATATTTGTAGGATAGACGACTTTTTCGAGGTCATATTTACTATTTAAAATTATTTTAAATTTTAGAGCTACTGAGCAGTTAAGGCAGTTTAGTAGCACACTTCACACCGTCGGCAACTGCTAAGTTAATTTCATACCCTGAGCTACTCCAGCGCTGTTGTGGAGAGTTTTTGAACTGTTATTTATTGCTTACAGATGGACACTTTTTCAACTATTCTCCTATGAAAAACTGTTCTCCTTACCCACTACACTCCATAATTACAACCTTTTGTGCATTGTCTTTTTGTCTTTTGTATATTAACTTAGAGAAGAGATTTTCTATCCCATATCAATTCTGCGTTTATACCGAGCTAAATAAGGAAAGTGATTTTTAAATATGTCGAAGTCGCTGTAAATTACTTTAAAATAGTGGATGACAAAACCGAAACAATTTATTAAGTGGTTTCTTGACACACAATCTAAAGAGAAGGAAGTTTTATTACTCTTTTTCGATCAGCTTGCATTCACGTCACGTAAAACCTATTGAAAACATTGAAGAGCCACTCTAATGAAGCGAAGTGTTCGCGAGTGATCTGACACGACCGCTGACCACGGATGAGAATGTATGCATCCAGGCATATAAAAAAAAGTAGTGTTACATAAAATATTTGACCTTCACTTATGGATCAGACTAACTAATTTATTTAATATTATTGATAGATCAATTTCATAATATATTTGTGTAAAATTAAAAAAGTAAAATATCAGTGCCATAGGCTTCTATTCCGTTCACCTATTCCACCCTATTTTGCGAGACGGTAAAAAAATCACCCAGTATATTGTCTATTCTCTAAATAATTTTGAATGGAAAAATAAGCGACAAGAAGTAGGCACCGGTATTATATATTAAAAATTATAAAATGCTTTATAAATTACTATACAATTTGTATCACTGTGTAGTAATTAGTGTCTCGTTTTAAGATGAATGTGTCGTATACATAGTTGAATTTTATGAGGAGTTAGGAAAATGTTGAGTTATGTTTAATTTTATTTTCGGCACATTGAATTACATTTTTTTTGCTAAAGTTAAAGATTTTAGATTGAAATTTATTTAAAAACAAAATATTTTTAAAAATGCCACAAGGCTTTAAAGATAACAACTTAAAACTTAATAGGTTAATTTTTTCTCTTAATTACTTATGACAGTGAAGGGTTATTCCATTTATCCACCCTGTCTGTAGGGTGCCTAGGTAACTCAAAGTGAACCTGGAAACGTAGGATATGCTACTTGAATGAACAGCCCAACAGAAAGACATGAACCACTTAAAATATTAGGATGGAATCGTGTTTCGTGTATGCCATTTTAAAACATTAATTGGAGTTTTTCAACGAAATATCATTAGATTGTATCTATATTCTATATGTATATCACATAAATAAAATTGAAGTGCTTGACCGTAATATAGATATAACTGCCTTTCGTTGAGCTCACATGGTTATTGCCGTTGTCATGAATAACCATTTGTAAAATTTCCGGGCGTATCTTCAGAATGGCTGAACCGAGATCAATGGAACTTTGCATACAGACAAAGAGCAATTTCTCCGAATAACTTAAGATTTTTTTTGTAAAATATAAAATTGATAAAATTAATGGTCATTTATGATTACTTTAAAAAATATAGATTACACCACATAAACAGAACCCATCGAGGCGAAACTTGGGCGGGTCATACAATAAAATTAAAATGTACTAAGTGATAAAAATAAAAAAAATATACTTAAATGCTGTATAGGTAGAGCCACGCCACAGTTATATAGTTTTACCACGAATGGGTTGGCTCGACAGGGGCATGACTATGCAGAAAACCAGCGTAAAATAGCAGCGTAGTGCTGTGTTTCGTATGGCGAGTGTAGAGAACCGGTGACCCCTTTTACTGGTATCGAGGCATTCCTTTATAGTCATCAGGGGGACATTTGCATTTTTATCCTTAGTTAAATATAAATGTTGATGTCTATGGACCACAAAAATAGGTACTTCATAAAACCTTTTTACGTTTATTTTTATCACCCGGTAACAGTCCAATGATGCACATTGGTTACATATATTGTAAGAAGGATTTTGAATTTGGATTTGATTAAATTGATCGGTTCAACCTTCGATCAACAATACCAACTAGATAACGGGTTACATACAAAATCATAGCTAAATACTGTCCGCATGAATATAAACTATGAAAAGACATAAATTAAATAACATTCAGTTTGAAATCAAACTTAAGTTATAACAAATAAAGTTCCTTTTCCCGTTATTGCCTTGCGAGCTACACTTTCACGTGCAAGAGCTCACGTCTCATGTGCGCTCTTATTTACTGAGATGGATTTCTTGCGCCGACCCGACATCTAGTTAGTATTGTTGATCGAAGGGTTCAACAGTTGTCAGTTCAATGTACCTTAATATTGTGCCTGGCGAGCGCGTCGCAGTCTTCGCTGTTGGTAGAGTTGCCGAGGTATAGGTTAGGCAGGATCTCTATGGGGAACTCCTGCTGCGTGTGCATGTGCATGTCTTCGCACTCGGACGAGGAGCCCGAGGAAAGCGCCTCCTCGCAGCCCGAGCCCGAGATACGTAATGATCTGAAATAAGTTGGTAATTATCACGGATTTTTTAATCAGAAAATAATTCATCTATTAATACACATATTTCCCTCAAAATACGTTCGACAAAAAGTTCACTAACGTACAAACGACGCAAACGTACAAACCGTCGGGACATACGCGCAGACATTCTTACAAGAATGTTAAAATAGGCTTTATGGATCTCAAAAATAGTCTTTGGTCGTAGGGGACGATAGAGGAGAAACTGAAACAGGCATCTCCTGTTTAAACAGCAGTAGCTGCAGTATCTTCCTTATAAAAACTAAAAATAAACAAAAGTTCCTTCCGGTTGCCAACCTGCTTGCCTAGCCAACTTTGGCACACATCTCATAGGGGGTATAAGGCAATCTGTACAGGTCTAGATTTGAAAAGTGGACCTTTGAAAAACTGTAATAAAAAATATAAAATTACGAGTTACATTAGATATAGATAGATAGATAGTTTTACGTGGTAGAGCCATGCTGCAGTTATATTAGTAGTATAGTTGTAGCACGAATGGGTCGGCTCGACCGGGGTAGGCCCACGCTCTCACAGAATACCAGCGTCAAATAGTAGCTTAATGCTGCTGTGTTTAGTATGGTGAATGTAGAGAACCGGAGACACTTTTTACTGGAAACGAGGCGTTCCACCTAAGTTCTCACGGCTGAAAACGCATCTGCATTTTGATTCGTAGTCGAGGATTGATGTAGATGTCTATAGGCCACAGCAACCACTTACCATCAGGTGGACTGTGTGCTAGTTTGCCATCCTATCCTATAAAAAAATGTAACAATTTGTCCCTACATATGGGCGAAGCATGGGTTGTTGCCGACCGACGTAGTTTAGACAAAAAAGTCATAAATAAAACAGGATCTACGTCCTACAGTCGACAGTTGTGGGCTAATAAAGAAGGTATGAAACATTATTAGAACGTATTCATGATTTTTAAAGAAAGTGAAGCCAAACTGCTGCAGTTTCCGTTTCGTGTAGAAATTTGTTTTCTTTTTTCAATAAACCTGCGATACATAATGTATATCGCAGCATTTTATCACGTCTGCGCGAAACGTTTATATTTCTATTCTAAAACAGGTACCTATGTAGTAGAAGTCATTTCCTCGAACTCGCCTACGTTTTCCGGGATGAAGCAATTTAAGCAACAGCGAAGGGTGTTTATGTGTAATACATGAAGTAATTTTGAAGCCGTTGTAAAGTAAAAAATTAAAGTAACGACGGCAGGTTAGGCCCCCTTACTTTAACTTTGGGTTTGGGTTTTGGAGAGGTTTTTTTCTACTCTCTTTCCGCGGCCCAAATGCAAGTTGACAACAGGCTGACAACGCATCTGCATTTTGATTCGCAAACGAGGACAGATGTAGATGTCTATGGGCCACATCAACCACTTACCATCAGGTGGACTGTGTGCTCGTTTGTCAACTTTTCCTATAAAATAAAATAATAAATAGGTTAGCCATCGATCACTTAGTGATCGATGAAGTTAGCGGACAATTTATTACTTAAGCCGCATTCCGAGATGTATTTTTTATAGGATAAGGGTGACAAACGCGCACAGTCCACCTGATGGTGGTCCTTAGACATATATAGTTGTATACTTGTAGCACAAATACTGGGGAAGGACCACGCTGTCGCATAATACCAGCGTAAAATAGTAGCTTAATGCTGCTGTGTTTCGTATAGTGTGTCTAGAGAACCAGAGAAACGAGATACGTTTTTCTGGAAACGATGCCATCTTAGTACTAAGGGGTGACAACGCGTTTGTATTTCGATTCTTAATCGATGATAGATATAAGGTCTATGGAGAACATACAGCATCCAGTTACGATTAAGCGGATGTGTGCCCGTTTGTCACCCTTAGTACTATAAAAAGCTACTGCAGCGAAGGAGCTGTTATTGTTTTAATAAATGTCAGTAATACACAATAATCGAAATACACTCTATGTAAGCTTTAATGATAGACCTAAATCACCATCCTACACAAATAACCTAATAAGACTCGGGTAAACTTATCATGAAACACATTTGTTTCATATTAGGTTCGTAGGTCGGGAGAGTACTTTTACGAGGTAGAGCCACGTTGCAGCTATATTATAGTTGTATCACGAATGGGTCGGCTCGACCGGAGCAGCACAACGTTCCTACAGAATACCAGTATAAAACAGCAGCGTAACGCTGCTGTGTTTCGTATGGTGAGTGTAGAGAACCGCAGACCCTTTTACTGGAATCGAGGCATTCCATCTTAGTCCTCAGGGGTGACAACGCATCTGCATTTTGATTCATAATTGAAGATAAATGTACATCCATCAGGTGGACTGTGTGCTCGTTTGTTAACCAATGTTATAAAAAATGTATTACGTTGTAATAAACATGGACAGAGCCTTATTTGCAGCAATTATATAAGTATAAATAAACAATCACTAAGAGCGGGCCTGGCCTTAACGCCTGCGCGGTTTAGTCCCTACAAAGGTAAGCAACTATTTATTAGGCCATTAGGAAACTTCATATTGCCAATTCGAATTTACTTCGGCAATCGCCCACCTCCTCGGCTGCTCGCATTTTATTGCAATATGGTTGCCCACAAATAAATGCCAAAAATGAAGGGTCCGCAACGATAACGAACAGTTAGCGCTGAGGTTTTTCCCGTCGACCATATTAAACTTGCTTTCCGTATAAGTGCCGAGGTTCGCGTGGGCGGGAGAATACATTGGATTGTTTGTATGCAGTAAAACTGTCGAGAACAGAGCAATAGCTCCACGCGAGGTAGTGCGGGGTTGCGGCATCCCGGGCGAGGCGGCGATCGATCGTAGAGCTGCTCAATGGGGGTGGAGGCTCCGGGGTCCACCATTCACCTGCCCCCGTGGATCAATGGCCGCCCACACGGCGTCCTTACTCGAGCTCCCGCCCGCCTCGCACCGCGCCTCGACGCCAGCGCGTCTCCTCCCACGCGATGTTCACCGAAATTCGCGCGCTCAATCGTCCCGTCGTGATTCAGGTTGTTTTCAAACAATCTCATTATGCCGCCACGATGAAACACGCTGATTACTTCGCGCCCACTCGCATACCTAGTACCTACCTACGTCAGGTATTTGTAGTTCAGTCGACGGATCATCGTCTCACGTCTATTTATTTAAAGAATGTAGTCGAGAGGCACGAGGGCTGCAACATACATGTTTCTTGAAGAAGTGTGGCTGGCCTACTCGGTTTTGCTGATAAGCTTCAAATTTCGAACCTAGGACCTAATGATCAGCAGTCGTACTACTACAACTACTAGACCAACGAGACAGACAGGTTAATATGTATAAATGTAAATGTAGTAAACTTAATTCAATATGAAACCTATTTTAAAACAAGGTATTATTGGTGTTGCTAGTGCCAGCATTCGGGTCCATTAGTTCCATGGTATTGGTACCATATTACTGCATTGTCATCGAAGTTACCTAGGTATGCCAACTTGCAGCCCAATCGGATCGGTCAGCAAGTGATTCAAAAATTTGATTACAAATACAGAACCTGAAAGGCATACGAAATTACGAAGAAACCATATTAATGAAAGCTTGTAAAAACAAACATGTTCGTATCACTTGCTCAGTTGAAGAATATTATTTATTAGTCTAAAACCAGTTCGTCGAATCCATTTATTTTCAAATAAGAAACATCTATTCCTTTAAAAAGTCAAGCAAAGGAAATCCGAGCCGTCTACGACATCCGGCCTCGAACTCGCCGTGGGCTTCATAACGAGCTTCATCTTAAGACGACACATCGAAAACGCTATCGCCGTACTGATCCGAGTGAATGCATAATTTCTATAAAAACTTGAAAAAACGCCGTCATAAGGTCTAAAATAGCGTAGCGCCCGCGACGATTAAAAGCGCTTAGAAATTGTCAGAATCTTAAAATATTTTTTAAAAAATTATTGATTTAAGTTATCAAAATAATGAGCAAGTAAATTATTAATATTGTTGTTATGAATATATTTGAGTGCTTCCCAAGTATTAATTTGTTAGAGGTGTGTGAAGTATTGATTGATATATGATTTTTTAGAGGTGTTTTCGCAAATAATTATGATCTAGTCAAAATTATACAATCGTGTTTTTGAGCAATCAAATTCAAGATAAAGGCATGAATTTACCTAAATCAAAATCCCACTTTCGTTAGTGGTGTCATAGTCCTATACTATTCGATGAAAGGAGGTGCATTTTTTCACGGTATCGCCTTAATGGGAAATTCCAGTCAGGCGCCTCACGCCCAATTCAATCGCCAGCGTGTTCGGTAATCCAAGTATTTATTAATAGTTCATACGGTAGTAGGCGACGGGGTGATAGGTGTAGTAGGCAGCGGCGTGGGCGACATGGCCGCCGTGGGCGAAGACGGCCGGCACGTCCATTCAAGGGAGATCGCCCACGCGCTCCGTCCGATCTGATTATCACGAGCCAGGCTCGTTACAACGTGGGAGATTCTAGAGTTGTCGCTCACCAGCATCGCTATAAGCAACTGAATTTACGTATATTATGTAGAAGGCAAAGCTATTTCAAAGTCAAATAAAAATATATTTAGGGTACACTACACATACACTAACAGAAAATAATTTATTTTATGATATATTTTACACTGAGAAGCTCATCACTTGTGCAGAAAGGAAAAAAGCCTTTTAGTAATTTCTAGCGATAAAATGGATGCTAGAAGTAGACTACTGTTATTTGGATTACCTCGATGCCGAACGCTAACATTTTATTAGTGACCATTATTTTTACTTACAAGCTTATAATCCTAAAACTACTTGCTACATGGAAATTATTTCAAGATGAATAATTCTATTATGTTTACAAAAATTATAACAAAGCTCAATGACGAAGGAACCGAATTTATACTGTTAAGTATATGTAGCTTAGACTCGTATATAACTGTATCATAGGGAAGTAATGTTTCGATTCATATCAATAAAAAATGTTTATTTTTTTTCTTAAATCTTATCTCATATCGTATCTCCT